TATGTATGTATGGTATTCAGCTTTGCTCAGGTATTTTCCCACGTCATTATAGTTGTGCTTTCGTTTCGGCAGAATCTCATCTGCCATCATCAGGCTTCTGTATTGTGTTCGTCTGTGAGTCAGGCTTTTATAGTGGGTTCAGATTTAAATTTGGGGCAGCCTATTGCTGTGCCAGAATGGTTTTTTCTTCATCCTGATTAGTTGGGAGTCTTGGTCTGTGTTTATTGGTCTCGGAGTTTGCTGTGTTCTGCTTGATTGGTGTCTCTAATGTCTTCTGTCTGTTTTGTGGCTCTTTTTGTATCTTGATTGGCTGGCAACATTGTGTTCCTTTATTGGAGGCCTTTAGTTTGGCTCCGGGGAAAAGGATGGCTTTAATTAGTTAGGAAGCTGGGTTTCATCTGGGTGCCTGGCTGGGGTGTGTTTGAGCTGGAGGTATCAGGGGGGATCTGTTTGTGCCCAGATGTTTGCCTGGCTAGTGGTGTGGATATTTTTTTGTTTGTGAGCGCAGGCTTCCAAATGATTGACAGTCTGGTGGAATCATCTCTTCTATTCATGCTTTCTGATCTTTTTTCAATCTCTATGGCTTCTCTGATGATTCTGTGGCTGGGATTTTCTATAGTGGCTAGGGTTTTGGTGCCATTGAAATTGATGCTATGACCTGTGGCTTCCATGTGTTGGACTAGTGAGGAAGTGTGTTCCAGCTTTTTTACTGCATTTTTGTGTTCATCCAGGCGGGTACTTATTCTTCTATTGGTCTGTCCAATGTATGTGGCCGGGCATGATGCACAGGGGACTTCGTATATGCCTTGGTTTTCCAAGTCAATTTTATCTTTGGGGTTTCTAAGGATGGCTGCTATTTTTCTGTCTGTTTTGAAGGCAGTCTTGATGTGATGTCTGTGTAGTATCTTACTGATTTTGTCTGTAGTACCTCTTATGTAGGGCAGGACAGCTGTTCCATAGGTCTGTTCATCTTCTGGGTCTCCATTATGTCTCAGTGTGTTTTTGTGGATCAAGCCGGTGATTTTGCTTTTGTGGAAGCCGTTGGCTGTCAGTACTTTAGTCAGGGTGCATAGTTCAGTCTTAATGTGTGTCTTGTCTGCCAGGATCTGTTTGTGCCCAGGTGTTTGCCTGGCTTGTGGTGTGGAGATTTTTTTGTTTGTGAGTGCAGGCTTCCAAATAATTGACAGTCTGGTGGAATCATCTCTTCTATTCATGCTTTCAGGTCTTTTTTCAATCTCTATGGCTTCTCTGATAATTCTGTGGCTGGGGTTTTCTATAGTGGCTAGGGTTTTGGTGCCATTGAAGTTGATGCTATGACCTGTGGCTTTCATGTGTTGGACTAGTGAGGAAGTGTGTTCCAGCTTTTTGACTGCATTTTTGTGTTCATGTCCAGTGTGTGTGTGTGTGTGTGTGTGTGTGTATCCCTTATGTTGTATGTATGTATGTATGTATGTATGTATGTATGTATGTATGTATGTTATTCAGCTCTGTTCGGGTATTTTCCCACGTCATTATAGTTGTGCTTTTAAAGTTGTGAAAGCCTGACTCACAGACAAACACAATACACGAGCCTGATGATGGCAGATGAGATTCTGCCGAAACGTTGCTACAACTTTAAAAGCACAACTATAATGACGTGGGAAAATACCCGAACAAAGCTGAATGCCATACATACATAGATACATATACGTATACACACACATATGTGTGTGTGTGTGTGTGTGTGTGTGCATATATATATATAAATATATGTAAAACACTCACTCTTTGTGGTACATTTTTACATTCTAGTTCCATGAAGCTTGGAGAAAGTTGGTGGACTGGTTGGAAGATGCTGAAAATCATCTAAATTCTGAGCTGGAAATTTCCAACGATCCAGACAAAATCAAATTGCAGCTTTCCAAGCACAAGGTTGGAGTCCAGTTACAATGTATTTATATATTAAATTTTGAAACTGCCCATCTCACTCAGTGTACAATTAAAGACATAAAAACCCACATAAATATTACACCCCACTAGGAGGGAGTTAAAACACAATAGTTGAAATTAAGGGTGGGGCGAGCCTTCAAGGCCCTAACCAACCTTCAGGCCACACACTCCTTTGTGAGTCCCAAGCAAGTGGGGCTTCGGGCCCTTCCGAAAGGCCAGGAGGGTGAGGACCTACCTCCCCTCTTGGTGATGGCAGAGAAGGCTCGCGCTCTCGCTCTCTCTCTCCCTCCCTCCCTCCCTCCCTCTCTCTCTCTCTGGATCCCGCCAGTTGGAATTATTTGGCTGATGCACCTGCCTGACTGGGCGGGATAGGCCAGTGTAGTAGGAAGAAGGTAGCTCTGCAGGTAGCCTGTCCCATGCAGGTGGCTTTGGACGTCACCATCGACACCTGGAATTAGACCCAGAAGCCAGTCGGCATCCAATGCAGCTCCCCAGCAGAGGGGTTACCTGTGTCTCCTTGGGGCATCCAAAATTGCTTGCGCAGCCACATTCTGTCCCAGCTGAAGCTTTTGGATCCTTTTCCTGACAGAGGATAATTGCAGTCGTCCAGGTGGGAGATGACCAGGGTGGGGGTGATTGAGAGAAGGGCCTCCCCGTCCAAGAAGGGTCAAGGAGGCCCAAGGGCCTGGGAAAGGCCGGGTCAGCCAACAGATTGCAAGAGCCCATTACCAAAAACGACGGGAGAAGAAAGACCCTCCAGATTTAGGTAGTAGCTACTGTTCAGTGAAACAAAGTGACTTTGATGAGAGTCTTAAGCATTCATTATTTCATCCTCTCCCCCCCCCCCCCACTCCAAAGTCTCTGACCAGACGTAAATCTTGTGGAACTTCTCCTCCAGAGGGATTTTCTGCCCTTCTTTTTTTCTCCATCTCTTTGCCAGACTTTTATCCTTTCCCCCCACAAAGGAACCTTGGGGGGAAAAGTGACATAAACCAGCTCAGGGCAGGAGGAACCCGGAGAGGGCTGAACAGAGCCAGACCCTCTTTGGCCTGGGAGGAAAAGGCTGAGCTTCAACCGGGCTGGGGAGGAGGAGGAAGACTTCCTCCAGGGCATCCACTGTCCTCCCCCTCCCTCCCTCCCCCCCTCCCCCCCCCCCCGGCCCGTGAGGGGGAGGCCGCCGTGCCGGCGTCCCCGGGCTCCTCCTGCCCAGAGCTGGTTGGAGGACGAAGCAGAATCCCCAGAGGGACTTCCATGTCCATAAGGAAATGCAGGGGCCTCTTATGGCTGCTGCTGCTGCTGCTTGGAGGCAGGCCTGGCAGGCTGGGAGGGGCCCCGGAACCTGCGGCACAAGGGGGGGCTGGGGAAAGACAACGCCCCCCTCCAGCCCCCTGCAGCCTCTCTCCGGCTCCCCTTGGAAGAGGCAAATGGAGAGGAAACGCAGTGAGATTTGCTTCACCTTCCTGTCAAAACCTCAGGAGTTCCAGAAAACCCTGGGAGGCAAACAGCCTGTTTACGACACCACCATCCGCACCGGGAGAGCCTTGAAAGAGAAAGCTCACTTCCCCGATGACACCCAAACCCTGGATCACCTCCTGGGGGAAGTCCGGGATAAATGGGACACCGTTTGTGGCAAATCTGTGGAGCGGTGAGTGGGAGCAGGCGGCCGGTGGTGCCCTCCGAGCTGCCCAGCTCCATCTGTTTCATTGCCAGAGCCCCCAGGGAGGTTCGGGGGGGGGGCAATTGCAAGACTGGGCAGAGGTGCAGGGGGGGTCAAGGGACGGGCTGAGCTGGCTCAGGAGGCCCTTTGCGCTTGGCGAGAGCAGCTCCGCCTGGGCTCCAGGGAGAACACCTGCCATCCTCCCCTCTGCCTCTTTGCAGGCAGCACAAACTGGAAGAGGCGCTTCTCTTCTCTGGGCAGTTCATGGATGCCCTGCAGGCCTTGGTGGACTGGCTCTACAAAGTGGAGCCCCAGCTGGCCGAAGACCAGCCTGTCCACGGGGATCTGGACCTGGTCATGAATTCAATGGATGCTCACAAGGTAAGTGCTGAGGGATGCAGCCCAAGGGATGTGGAAGGGAAGCAGGCAGCCGTCTAGCTCTGCCCCCTGGCAGCCTGGCAGGCTTCCTTCCCTTCAGCTCCAAAAACCGGGCCGAGGGGGCCCTTGCAAAATGGGCAGCCAGCCTCCAGCTTCGCCACTCTTTCTCAAACGGGGGTGTCCAACCCACGGCCCCTGGGCTGCAGGTGGCTCCAGCAATACAGCCTCACAAGATCGTAAGCTTTTCATGTTCTTAACTGCTGGTTCGTGAAACATGTGTTAGAAAACAAGCAAGCTCGGAGAGCACGAAGGACCCCCCTGATTTATATACATTTGCTATATCATACATTTTATATGTACCACTCAGTGCAGCCCAGGCAAGCCAAACGTTGGACACACCTGTTCTAGAACCTGCCGGAGCAGAGTGGGCTTTGGGAACAGCAATAAGGGAGCCGTCCAGAGGGTCAAAGGAAAAAATAAACCTCTTCTGACCTTGGCGAGAAAACTGCATTTGGTTACCACGAGTGGAGCTTGGCTCACGGGAATTTTTTCGTTTCCTTGTTAGGTTTTCCAGAAAGAACTTGGCAAGCGGACGGGCACTGTCCAGGTTCTCAAGCGCTCAGGTCGGGAACTGATTGAGAACAGCCGAGACGACACCACCTGGGTGAAAGTGCAGCTTCAGGAGCTGAGCAACCGCTGGGATACGGTCTGCAAGATGTCCGTCCTGAAGCAGACGCGGCTGGAGCAGGCCTTACAGCAGGTGTGGGGGCAGGAGGCAGGCCCACCTCGCACTTCCCTCCACCTGCTTCCTGAGCGTTGTGCTCTCCTCTTGCTGGTCTTGGAAGCATGCATGTCCCACCTGGGTGGAGGGAGGGCAACGGTCGTAGCAAGGGGAGAAGTTTAGGGGTCCTTTGGCTACCCCCCGAGGAGTTAAGCTCCAGTGTGTGGAAAGTAGGCCTTGCCTAGAACTTTATTCCACACACTGAGTAACCCTGAGGCACCTCAGAGAAGGCCCGTGTGTAGCCTTTCTATTTCTCATCTCCCTCTGCCCTCCTGGGCCATCAGCAAGTTGCCTTCCGCCTCAGGCTTGAGGGCCCTGAGGGAGATGGACATCTCTCGCCCACCTCCTGCATCATGGGTGGTGCTGATCGTAGCCTCCTGTCCTGTTTCAAGTTTCAAACTCCCTCCCTCTCCCTCCCTCCCCCCTACAAACACTCATACTAAGTGAGGAAAGCAATTTACTCAAGACTGAGCAGATAATAGCAGACAAGGAAGAAATGTAAATCAACAAAGACCCTTGGAAAGAAAGTTTGCTTGATGGTTTTGCTTTCAACAGCAGCATGTAGAAGAATAGTCAGAATCCAGTCCAAAGTTGAGAAAGCCAAGTAAAGTTTGCTGCAAATCCAAGGTCAGAGTTTTATGTGCAAGATTCACAGAAGCAACGCAACAAAGCCGGAGATCAGATGGTTGTTTACAGCAGAGTGTTAGGAGTCAGGGCTACCTTTTTAATCGGTCTTTAATCAGGAAAGTTACTTCCCTGCTTGGCAAGGAGCCTCATAGACAGTGGTGGGATGGGAATGACTTAACAACCGATTCTCTAGCTGGCTAAGCGTGGCCAGTTGGTCATGTGACTGAGAGGGTGATGTCACTCATCGCACCCAGCCCCGCCTCCCGGCCACTCGCCTCAAAGGCAGAGGTAGGAATCAGCTGGTTGGGCCTAATCCCACCACTGGCTGGCCTTGCTCTGCCCATTTTTTGACCTGTTTTGGGACCATTTCTCAGGCTGTTTTCAGGCCATTTTTTGGGCAGTTTTCAGAAAAATGGCCAAAATTGGCCCCAAAACAGTCTGAAAACAGTCCAAAAACCAGCCAAAAACAGCCTGAAAAATGGCCAGAAAACAGATCATTTTCAGGCTATTTTCTGGGCCCTTTTTTGGCTGTTTTCAGAAAAACAGCCTGAAAATGGCCTGAAAAACGTCCAGAAAAAAGGCTGGAAAACGAGCGGGGGCAGGGTCAGCCAGTGGTGGGATTTGCTGTTCGCCGAACTGCATAGAATCTTAACTACCAGTTCACCCAAACCGGTGCAAACCGGCATCCGCCCACCTCTGCTCGTGGAGAATCCCTGTTCTGCTCTCCTCTCTACTGCCCGAGTATGAGGGCCTTGGAGGCCACGTCCTCCTATGACTGCTTTGGTTGTGTGGATGATGCCTGTCTTTGATCCAATCGCTCCCAGTTTGGTGTCCTCTGAGGCTGACATTCCACAGGTTCAGCTGGAGAAACTTCTTCAGAGTCTGAGTGCTGGGCATGACACTTCCAGGGCATAGCTGGCTGAGTGCAGCCGACTCCTTGGGCCCATCCTGAGGGGCAGCTTGCAGAGGGGGAGGCCTGACTTGGGCGCTTCTGCTTTCCAGGCCGAGGAGTTCCGGACAGCCATCCACCAGCTGCTGGAGTGGCTCTCGGAGGCCGAGCAGACCCTCCGCTTCCGGGGAGCTTTGCCCGATGACGCGGAAGCACTGCAGTCACTCATCGATGTACACAAGGTGGGCATTGATCCCAGGAATGTGGGGTGGCCCAGGGTAGGGCAGAGGAGGGGCCGTGGGTAACAGTGACTTTGCGTTGCCTTGTGCAGGAGTTTATGAAGAAAGTGGAGGAAAAAAGGCTGGACGTGAACTCGGCGGTGGGGATGGGAGAAGCCATCCTGTCTGTGTGCCATCCGGACTGCGTCACCACCATAAAACACTGGATCACCATCATCCGTGCTCGGTTCGAAGAGGTGAGTCGCTGTGGGGACTCTTGTCCACTGAGTTGGGCCTCTTGTGGTGGCTGAAGGGGGGGGGGTTCCTTTCATTAATGGTGGGGTCTTCTGCCCCTGTGGGGTAGTAACCGGCTCCAGTCCCTGCCTCCACCCCTCCGAGCGCCCAGCCCTCCCTGCCCCTCAGCCTTTTCTCTTGGCGGCCTCCAGGTTCTCACTTGGGCAAAGCAGCATCAGCAACGGCTTGAAGCGGCGCTCCTGGAACTCATGGCCAACGCGGAGCTGCTGGAAGAACTGCTGGCGTGGATCCAGTGGGCGGAGGCCACGCTGATCCAGCGGGACCAGGAGCCCCAGAATATCGAGCAGGTCAAGGCCCTCATTGCGGAGCACCAGGTAAGCGCCTCCCTGCGTCCCGCTGGCCCCTCCCTCGAAGAGAGCAGCATCTGCCCTTCCCACGGGATGCGGCACAAAGGCTCCGGGCCTGGCACGGGCTGGGGATGTTGCCAACAGGACGCTGCGGCCGTGGCCTCTTGGGCTGTTGAGCTTTAGTGCTCCAAAAGGGAGGCTGAGAAGAGTAGCTGGACATTTGCGAACGATTGCGTCTTTCCTCCTTCCAGTCCTTCATGGAAGAGATGACCCGGAAGCAGCCGGATGTGGATCGTGTCACCAAAACCTACAAGAGGAAAGCGACTGAGCCAGCTCATGGCTCTTTCATGGAAAAATCCCGCAGCAACAGTAAGTTGTCCTAACGTGGGGTGCCAGGAACTAGCGCCAGGGGTGCAGGGCTGAGGTGGAAGCCTGCAAAGAGCCCAGCCTGGCTGGCTGGCGCTGGCAGTTGCTGAGCAGTCGTGAGCGTATTCCCTGCAGGCTGGGACTCTGAACTGTTGTCTCTCTTAAGGCGGGTCCTGCTTTCGGAACCCAGGTCTGAAAAAGGGATCTCGCCCACCCTCCACTGAGGTGGGGGGGGGAAGCCCTCTTGGCACAGTTTTTGATGGGTGTTTCCCACTTTATCCTCTGGCTTTTCCCCGTTTCCCCTACTCCAGCTTGGCTTGGCTTTTTTCAGCTCCTCCACTTTTTATTCCAGGGAAGCCCTTGAACCAGGCAGCCCCTCCGCCCCTGCCGATCCTCTTGCAGGCCGAAGCCAAGAACCCACGCATCAACCAGCTCTCGGCACGTTGGCAGCAGGTGTGGCTCCTGGCACTGGAGCGGCAGCGCAAGCTCAACGATGCCCTGGACAGGCTGGAAGAGGTGAGGATCCTCTCCTGCAGGTGGACGGGACGGCCTCGGACGGGAGGCACGTGGGAAATGGCGGCCACCAGGTTTGAAGGTTGGGGCTGATCAGGCTGGCGCCCGTCCCTCTCCTCCCTCAGCAGCTGCCCCCCCCCCAGCCCACTTGCTCGTCTTTGCTGGAAGCCATTTAAAAGCTGAGGCCTCCAACCTTTTGGACCTCAGGGACCACCAAATGATTTTTAAATCCTGCGGACCACTTTTTTCGTTAAAAAGATAAATACGTTTGTAAAATAATGATCAGAGAACTTCCATTTTATTGATATGAAGTGCACCTATTTAATACAACAAAAGTATAAATGCTTATTTCATCATAACAAAATATTTAAAGGTTGTTTAATTGTAACAAAATTATTAAAGTTAGTGAAATTATTAGAAAACAATGGCCACTCCGAGTGAAGGGAAATGAAGGTGGGAAGACTGAGGCTGGTGGGAAAGCCGGTCCCCTGTTCCAGAGCCGTGGTCGTCATCACAGGACTGGCCCTTTGGCAGCTGCTTTGGTTATGACCACAGGGCCAGTCCTGTGGCGACCACAGCTCTGGAACAGGGGACCAGCCCCGGGTAGGGCTAGAAATCTCTGCCAGGGGGGGTGGCACGTGCAGTGCGCAAATGTTCTGGTTGATGACCTCTGTCCTCGGCCATTCCTTGGTGTTTACACTCAGGCCCACTTGGAGGTCTCTAGCTGTGGGAATATGCCATGAAATAAATGCCATTTCCTGCCACACAGAAGAGTTCCTGGTCAGTTCCAGCCATAACAACAGGCCTAAGGTTTGGCCGTCTCCTTCTGTTGTCTCCTCACCAAGAGGAAGATTCAACTCCCACAATTGGGGCTGGGGGCAGAGAACGGACTGGGAAAGAAAAGGCTTTTCCCCTTTTCCTGATACGCTCGTTGAAGTTCCCATCCTGCCCTCTCACACATAGACCACAACCCCAAGGAGCCTTCCACACTCTAAGGGAGCCCAATTATGGGGATTCGTAGACCTTCCAAGCGGTGACGCTGGTGCCCCTGGGCTGGTGCAGGGAAGGATGGGGCTGCTCCCCAATGCTTTTCAAGGGGGCCCATTTTGGGGTCTTTTGTGGCTGAGTTTACAGAATATGCTTAAGTTGATACAAAACTCAGCTCTGCTGGGTGCAGAAAGTACCTTGAACACAGCCTGGGTTGACTCAGCACAGGGAGCGTCAGAAAACCCACCGAAGGTTAATTCTGGCAAAATTAGCCCAAGTTGGGCCCTTGGAGCTGATGAGTCTTTAAATGACCGATGAAGTATATTATGTGAACAGAGCGTGTCCTTTTCCCCACTTCTGTTTCCCAGTTGAAAGAGTTTGCAAACTTTGACTTTGACGTATGGCGGAAGAAATACATGCGCTGGATGAACCACAAGAAATCCCGTGTGATGGATTTCTTCCGGCGGATCGACAAAGACCAGGATGGGAAGATCACCCGGCAGGAGTTCATTGACGGGATCCTGGCCTCGAGTGAGTGCCTGCTTGTTCCATGCCTTGCTTGGGTTGCTGTGACATGGGCAACTGGGCAGCCAGAAGGGTGGCACCCTGGCTCAGGAGGAGTCTCTCTCCACCTGCCCACCCCAAGGCCCTGGGCTTGATTTGCCACCCTCACCTGGCAGCCAAGCTGAGTGGCAGGCTCAAGCGCTGGAAAGCTGGCAGGTGGAGTAGCAGGAGTAGCGCTTAGACTGATAGGCCGCTTCCCGGTGCTTCCCAGCCCTCTCTCAGGGGTTTACAGAGTCAGCCTCTCGCCCCCAACAATCTGGCTCCTCGTTTTATGCACCTCGGAAGGATGAAGGGCTGAGTCAACCTTGAGCTGGTCAGGATTGAACGGCTGGCAGTCAGCAGAATTAGCCTGCAATACTGCATTGTAACTCTGCGCCACCATGGAAGGTTGAATGGCTGGGGTCTTCCTGCCTGATGCACCTGTTTGTGCAGGGATTTCTGGGTACCCCACAGTGGTGCCCCCCCCCCCATCACTTAAAAGTTACACTATTGGGCTGTGGAATGTGTAACTCAATGGAGGCCAGGCTGTAGCTTCATGGCAGGGTGGGAGTGGAGGTGAGGACAGAGAGAGAGGACCCCCGGCCCCTCTCCTCCTCCCGCTGTCCCTAGAAACTTTACTACAAGAGAAAGTCTTCCGTTCCACATAACCTGCTTTTATTTACTTCCTTGTGAGCTACTTGGTTGTCTTTACATTTGTGGGGCTGATAATCCAAGATGCTCTTGGCCAAGGAGCCACTTTCCAAAGCTGTTGGGGGGGGGTCATCTGGATTGTTTTGCACCCTTTCCTGTGCAGTTCAGAAGCACTGATGGCCATTCTGGTTGGAAGCCCCCTCCCTGCCCCCCCCCCCCAAGCCTTGGGTATCGGAGGGGCTGCCTTCAGAGCAACTGGAGAGGAAAGACGGCTGAGGACCTTCTCGGTTCTCCAGGCATTTCGATGAGACCCGGGATGGAAGCCCAGCTGTCGGGGTCCCTGACGTCCGTTGGGATGGTCAGCTTATCAGGGCTCTTCCACTTTGCCAGGCTTTGACCTTGGCTGACCTTACTTGCTTGCTTCAAATATTCCCACTCTTTGTGCAGCGTTAACAATAATTGGGGCAGGTGCATTTTTTATTTGCATTGCTACAAATCAGAGGGTTTTTGGTGGAAGACAGGCAGCAGTTCCACCCACTCATCCCTTTCAGGGCTGCTGCTCTGCAGCAAACTCAGTAAACCGAGGCTGGGTTTTTTGGTCATAACTTCCTTATTTCTGCTTATATCCCAAACCCCATTCCTGCCCCCTTTGCACAACACACCAGGAGAGGCCCAAGGAAGGGTGTGAAAGACTCGGAAGCAGGGCCCTTTCAGCAGGCTGTGGGTGTGTCGCAGGGCTACTTAAGCCCCGCCCCCCATCTCTGTATCTCTCAAAGTTAAGGTGAACCTCACCCTCTTGCTCCTACCTGCTGGCCAGGCACCTGACCGTAACCGGAGCCAGGTGACGTTGCCACCTTGCACGAGGTTGCTCCATCTCTTCCCACGGAGTCTGCTTGGGCTGCTTCCCAGAAACAAAGGCTGTGCCCATGCCGGAGAAGCCTCTTCTGCCCCGCTTGGGAAGGGAGGAGGCTGTGCTGGGGGTGGGGGGGGGCAGGAGGGGCCTCATTTTGAAAGCGTCGCTGAAGGGGCTTGGCGTCCATCTCTCCTCTTTCTCTTCCTTCCCCAGAATTCCCCACAACGAAGTTAGAAATGACAGCTGTCGCTGATATCTTTGACCGGGATGGGGACGGCTATATTGACTACTATGAGTTCGTAGCTGCTCTGCACCCTAACAAAGATGCTTACCGGCCCACAACGGATGCGGACAAAATCGAGGATGAGGTATGGGTGTGGCTGGGGGAGGAGGGGGAGGAGAGACAGCGAACGAGGCTGTTCCTGGGCTCGGCTGGCAACTTCTTCTCTTGATAAATTCTTGAGGTTTCAAGAGAAAGAAGTAGGTGGAACTGCAGTCAGCAAGCATTCCTCCCATTTGCTGCTCCTTGTGGCCTCCTTTTCCCTCTGTATCTCAGAGGCGGAACTGTTGGGTCTGGGATCCCTCCTCTTGTGGGAGGGCCCTGCAGGGGGGCCAGTCCAAACCATTGGGATTCTTCCTTTGCCCCCCTCACTTGGCAGCCTTCCAGCCTTCACACTCCTCCCAGGCACCTCCCCCCTGCCTCCATTTCCCTGTCCGTTTTGCTATATCCATGGGGATGTTCACAGCTTAGAGCATAGAGCATAGAGTTGGAAGGGACCTTGGAGGTCATCCAGTCCAACCCCCTGCATAAGCAGGACAGTCTAATCAAGTGCATCCTTTTACTGGCAGTTCATCTTAATCAATAGGTACTAATTATATAGGAATTTATTTGGGGAGTCTGCATCCTGCAAATGCAGCCAGAGGGGGTCGCCTGCCCATCGGGGCTGGTTTCCTGCATCTGGTGCCCCAGTTTGGCCAGGGGCATGCCAGGAACAGCACAGGACGTTCCTAATGCTGCACTTTTCCTGCCCACTCTCCCTCACCCTTTCGGGTGGGACTTCTGACATTCAGGGCCCCCCTCCTTTGGGGCAAACACAACCCTGGCCGGGCGCTGTGGCCTTGAGCAGCATTGCCCAGCCAGAGCCGGTCAGTTGGTGGTGGCCCAGCAGTCCGAGCTCTGGGCTCCAGATCACCACAGAGCAGCAGAGGCCACCACGATGGACAGCCATCCCCTCCCTCCCCACGTGAAGCTACAGGGAAGGAGCGCGCCCGAAGCGCAGGGTGGTTTCTCTCCCGTGCAGCAGCCGACGCCCCACCAAGTTTCTTCCCGCTTCTTCCCTTGCAGGTGACAAGGCAGGTGGCTCAGTGCAAATGTGCCAAGCGATTCCAAGTGGAGCAGATTGGAGAGAACAAGTACCGGGTAAGAAGCGGGGAGCCAGGATGGGGGCTGTCTGGGATCTGGGGCCCTCGGCAGGCTGACGGTGGCCTGCCAGTGCAGTGCCCTTGTCGTGTGGAGGAGACGCGCCCCCACCCCCAGTCGGGAAGCAGGCCCTGGCGCCGCTCCCAGAGGCAGGGGGACCCATGGTGCTCTGCAAGGGGAATGGAGAAAGCTGCCCCCATGAGCCACTGCTGTCTCCTGTGCCTGGGAGGCCTCTAGGTTGGGGGGTGGGGTGGGGGGGGCGTCCTGCCTCCTTTCTCAGGTTTGAACAGTTTCCTTCTGGCTGCTCCCAGAAAAACGGGTTCAGAAATGGGGCTTCATCCTCTTTCTGACTTTTGCTTGAAGCTGCTGGCCTTTGCCCTCCACCTGAGCTTCCCTGTGTCCCTTGGCCTGGCTGGACTGTAGCCCAGGAGGTCCTCGGCCCTCCAGGTCAGGGTTGTCCCGAAGGGGCTTCCTTCAAAAGGCAACTGGACGTCATTCCCTTCTCATCCTTTGACGAAAGCTCCTCTGGACCCACAAAGGGCTTGAGGAGCAGCTTTGGCTGCCACTCTTGCCGGGGGCTTTGGGGGAGGGAGAGGGAAGCCATGGCCCAATCCCAGAGTGCCGAGTAGCTGGTGCCCCCCCCCCTTGCCACTTGGGGCCACTCGCCCCCCTTTCTGCTGGCCTTCCTTTGTTTTAATCCCCAAACGGAGGAGCAGCCCTGAGCAGCAGTACGGGAAGCACAGGAAGGAGCGCCAGCATTGTTGCCCTGTGTGATGTAACCCTGTGTGATATGTTCTCTCTTCTCCCTTTCTCTTCCTCCTCCTCCTCCTCCTCCTCCTCCATAGTTCTTCCTCGGCAACCAGGTACAGTGAGCTTTTTGCAGTGCTGCCTCTGCGTTTTCCTGTAGCTAATTCTCCTTCCAAGATGTGCATGTATAATTTGCGTGTCTGTTTCCACACCGGTCTTTTCCTAACTGTGGCTGTTGTGCTCGTGGATGCATTAACTTGACAACAGAGTTGCTGGTATATTCAGAAATGTAGTGACGCAACCAGGCAGGGACTGCCAATTGTAAAAACAAACACAGAATCACACACACACACACACACACACACCCCTGTGCACCCAGCGTAGACTTCAGCCCTTTTGGAGAACTGAAAACTTGCTTGAAGGGAGCATCTTAAATGGGGCTGGGGCTGCCCTGGCCATGAGCCAGGCAGAAATTCCCAAAAGAGCAGCTGGCCAGAGTCGCCTGCGCATCCTCCTGGGACAGTCCTGGACCCTCAGAACTGACTGGCCATGGACTGTTGGGGGCTGGTAGAAACCCTTGCTCCAAACTGACCACCAGCAGATGAAGAGACCTACCTTGGGAGGCCCAGGGACCTTCCTCCAAGCCAGAGCCATGAGCCCCGCCTGGCCAAGAAGCCCTCCTGCCACTTTCGTCGTGCCTGAGCGGAGCTGGCGGGGGCTCAGCCAGGGAGTTTGGCCCAGACTTTTGGGTCCACTGCACAGAATCTTGACCGAGTATTCTGCATATCGGCCTCTTTCCATGGGCTCCTATTGACCTTCCATTGCTTTGGAAATGCAAGTCCCCGGTTTCCCGGGACCCCCCCCCCCCCCCAAACAGCACTCAATCTCCAGCCCCCCTGCGAGGCCCTTCCCACAAGAGAGGGGGGGTCTCTGCCCGGCCTCTTGCTCCCTTCCGAGGCAACCAACCAGGGCTGCTGCAGATGCTTTCCTGGGCTCCCTTCTGGCTCCCTGCTGAATTCAGGGTCACCTCCTGTTGCCTGATTTGGGGGGCAGGGAGGGGGTGGCAGCGAATGTCGGCTGTTGGCCTCTTTTGGCCAAATCTGGCCCGGTGGAGGGAGTTTGGGGTTCCCCGGTCGGGTCAGGGGGGGGGGGGGGTGGAGCTAATACCTTCCTTGTTCAGCCACCCAGAATTATGAAGGGGTGGAGGTGATGGTGACATGACCCCTGAGGTGTGACGATGCCTGGCTCTCCAGCTGGAACATTGACGGGGGGGGGGGGGGGGCTGAAGAGGGTCCCCAGGGTGGAGGCTGATGGGAACACAAGGTGCTGCTGGAGTTAAGCAGGCGGCTTTGGGGTCTGGGGCCTCCCTGATCAATCTGAGCAAATTGTGGGCTCTGCCTGTGATCTGCCGCTGCAATCAGTCAGTCCATCCATGCTCTGAGCGGGTTGCAGGGTCACCTGTCTCTGGCTGCTGCCAATCACGCTTCTGCCGGGGGCGGGTGAGGGTGCCAGGCTGGGAAGCCTTTCGGTGGAGGCTCCTCCGCTTGGCCTCTTCTGAAGGGGGGCTGCCTCAGGTGACGGTTGGGGCCAAGCGGCTTGCAAAAGGCACCCCCCTCCTCGGGGGCAGTGCAGAATCCTCTTGCTGTCCAAGCAGCCCAGATTGGCCCAAAGAGGAACGGCCTGTTGGGGGCGCAGCAGCAGGCGTGGGCAGCTGCCAAGCAGGAGAGGAGCCTGGGCCAGGAGCCCTGGAGCTGACCCCCTCCCCCAGCCTGCCCCCCCCCCCCCCCCGGGCGTCTTTTGGCATCTTTCTCAGGCAGCATTTTGTGGCTGGCTGGGATTCATGGTTTGTGCTTGGCCACCGAGGAGGCTTCGTCTTGGGGTCCAGCAAAAAGGGCTTCTTGCCACCCAGGGTGCATTGGATCATTCCACTTTTTTAATCATGAAAAAAGTTAAGAAATTAATTATTAAGGAAGATGGTCATTATTTGATTTAATAAGAATAATTCACTTAATCAAATGTACGATCCTTTTAATCGCCTCCGTCATTTTCAAAGGCACGCTGGGGGGTGGGGAGACCCAGAGCTAGCAGGTTGTGGCAATTAAACCAGCTCCCTCTTTGCATGTTTGCAACAGTTCGGGGATTCCCAGCAGCTGCGGCTGGTCCGTATCCTGCGAAGTACAGTCATGGTTCGTGTCGGTGGCGGATGGATGGCTCTGGACGAGTTCCTGGTCAAAAACGATCCTTGTCGAGGTAGGAGACACTTCTGCTCTCAGCGAAGGTTTTTCCAGGGAAACCTCCCGTACGGGCGACTGCCGAGGAGAGAAGACGGGGCAGCTGCTCTGGAAGATGAGCCCGGGGGGCCTTGCTCAGCATTGGGCCCCTGAGCACCAAGGGGGCCGCCCCCAGAGAGGAAGCAGGGTCGAAGGGCCCGGAGCCCTTTGCCCTGCGAGCTGGCCTCCTTTTCCCTCCTCCGCCGCCGGCCACGGCAGCCCTGCATGCCGCCCAAAGGAGCCTCCCTTCCTGCCCTGCCGGCCCCCTGCCGCTCCCTCCCGTTGCCGCACCTTCTCTCTTCTCTGTTCTAGTTCACCACCCTGGGAGTAAAATCAAACGCTCCGACTCCAGCTCTTCGATTGCCAGTCAGTCTCCGATAGGTTGGAGGATTTTCTTCCCTTTCTCTGACTGCCCTGTTGGGAATGGCTTGGCTGCTCTAACCTGCCCCCGGGTGCTGTCGCCTGCGCTGTGCTTGGCCAGGGAAGGGGGTGCGGGGCTCTCCCGCCACCCCCGAGGGTCCCCTCCTTTCCCCAGCCCCCCCCCCCCGGGTCCTCAGGCTCAGCTTTACCCTCCTGGCGGCCCCGAGTGAGGAGCAGGGTGCGAGACCCTGGGTGGATGCCCTGCGCTTCCTTGCATGCTGAACAAAACATAAACAAATAGAATGGAAGCCAAGAAGTTAGAAAAACAGATGGAAAGTAACAGTAGCAGTAAAAAAAAAGGGAGAGAGAGAGAGTTATATTGGCTGGTTTTTCTCAATGCAGGGGAAGCGTCCTCAGGCAGGTCCTAACTTTGGGCAGGTTCCTCACCAGAGAGCCCCGCCCTTAGGAAGCCTGGCCAAAGCCCTTTGGGGGGCAGGGGGGTCGAAGGGGTCCCAGAAGCCCTGAGCAAGCAGGGCTGGCTTCCGCCTTCCTAGGATCTCCACCTTGCCCCAAGCAGCAACCTACTGCTCTGCTTTAACACTGGTCACAATTCCTGGACACTTGCCAATCCTTGACCAGCCTAGTATAGGAACTGCCAGGATTCTCCAGGCTGCTGTGGAGACTGTTTAAGTCCACCCACTTGAATGACACCCAAGTTGAGGAAGCCTACTCCAGCCCCAGCCCCTTCCTCTAGGGGTGCAGAGGAGGGGGTTGTTGTTGTTTTTTAATCCTTTAGTATCGCTTCCTCCTTGTGTTGAAATTGCAGCCTGCGTTGATTTGGGTGTCTGTAACTCAAAAGTAGTTTGTCAGAAGCCAACAAATCCCCTTTCCTCGGACTTTGGAGTTGTGATGTTTCTGGCAGGTTCACACTTGCTTTTCCTCCCAGTATTTCTCCCGAACTTGGCTGGATGCTCCTGATTGGAAAACCTCCAGCTTTTTTCTCTCACCTGGCGCCCTCCAGGTATTTGGCTGAGAGTTCTGGGTGTTGAAGGCACATTTACGGGAAAACCCAAAGGAATGCATTGCATGGGGGGGGGGGGGCTCTGTGCTTCCAAGCCCTTTTGCCTTTGGGATTTGCCCAAATGTTGCTGAACTCCCCGTGATTCCGGAACAGGGCCCAGCTGCAGTTGTTGTGTGTCTTGGGTAGGCTGCACTACCCTGGCTGCACTGATCCTACAAGGCTTTTGCACCGTGTAGCTTAGCCAAACTCCCCCTGTGTGCGCTTCCACTGGCTGGTTTTGTGTTTCCCAAAGGAGCTTAGGTTCTATCAACGTGTTTGCTAATAAGTGGCAGGGGGGTGTGTGTGTTCCAATTCCTTGATCCCACCAGTTAATTTTATTTCAGCCTCTGGAGAGCCAGGAGAGCTTTTCAGGTGAGAGTATGGCCAGTGATTGCCCCTGACAAGATTCCTTTTTCTGGATCTTGGTGCTCCAGAGGATCCACACGTCATTTTATAGCCGAGCAGATCCCGAGGGGCCAAGCATTGCAGCCCCCCTCCCTCGTTGTTTGGGACGGACTCTGCACACCGTGGCCTTGCTGCGGGGCGCTGGGCCAGCCTTGGCAGGCAGTCTCAGGCCTGCCTGTCCCTCCCCAACATTCACGCGGCCTCCTTGGGCTCCCGGCTTCTGGTCCAGGGGCTTCTCTGCTGGGAGAAGCATTTGGGGGAGGGGAGCTGCCCTTTGGCATGTGGGGACCGCGAAGGGGCCATCGGAAGGGAAAAGGGGCTTGATGCCCGCCCTCCAAGGCCACACAGCTCCACCCTTTTCCTAGCCCAGATGCAGGCGGGGTGGGGGGCCAGAGGGAGGGTCAGCTGAGTGGTTGGCCTTTGCATGACGTGTGGCCTGCCCCGGGTGAGGGGGGGGCTTTTCCTGGCCCATTCGGTGCTGCAAAGGCCTTTGGAAAGGAAGAAGAAGGTCACATGCTTCCAGCAGACTCCAATCCTGGCCCTTAGTCGGTTCCTCCATTCAGGTCCCTGCGGCTGTGTCACCTGCATTTTGTGTCCTTCTTTCCTTACAGCACGAGGCCGGACGAACCTTGAACTCCGGGAAAAATTCATCCTGCCCGAGGGCGCCTCTCAGGGAATGGCGCCCTTCCGCTCCCGTGGCCGGAGGTCCAAGCCTTCCTCCCGGGCTGCCTCCCCCACACGGTCCAGCTCAAGCGCCAGCCAGAGCAACCACAGCTGCCCCTCCGTGCCATCCTCCCCTGCCACCCCTGCCAGCGGGGCCAAGGTGAGACGCAGGCCCTTTCCTGGCCTCTGCTGAGTGGCGGAGCAGGCCCTCCCCTCCCCGGCCTGACCCAGAAGCCCCACAGGTGGGGCCTGCGAACGGTCTCCTTTGGCGGAGGCGGCAGCCCCAGGGGAGCCTTTTCGCAGCCGGCCTCTCCTCAGCTCCCTTGGCCCTTTCCCTCCTCTTTCCATGGCTCCACATTCAAGAAGGTGGGGAGAAGAGAGGAAGGCCGAATTTCTCCTCTTCTTCACACTCTTCCACCACCACCCCAAAAATAGCTGCGGGTCTCCCACACAACCTGGACTGTGTTTTTTCTTCACCTTTTTACCAATACTTTTTTTGTGCATCACACAGTTCTGTGCCCTTTGTCAGCCTAGGTTTGTGTTCATTAGCTGCATTATTATTATTATTATTATTATTATTATTATTATTATTATTATTAT